CTGACTGGCTTGTAGTCCCTCAGGTTGAATGTTTTTTCCTTTTTAAAAATGGGGGCTATGTTTCCCATTTTCCAGTCAATGGGAACTTCAGCAGACTGCCATGACTCCTCAAATATGATGGATAGTAGATGGATGGATGGATACCATATTCTAGGTATGCTGAAGCCCCAAAGCTTTTGTCTAGACCTCAAACTCATGGTCTCAGTTCAAGCTTCTACTAATCCTACACTGAACAATGCAGTTTTAATTTGAACAGATCTCCTCTACCTATCTGAATTTATTTTATTCTTCTGAGGAAACAAAGCTAAGATCAGAAGACTACCTTCACTCAAGAGTGTAGTTCATGCACCTATGAAACTACTGAGTACTTTCTTTTTAGTGTGTTTCAATTTAACTTTACAAATGCTGTTCTCCATTTCTTTCACTCACTGCAGACTACATTTTTAAAACACATTATATTCTCCCACTAAAGAATTATTTGTTCTCATTCCTTTTCCTAAAATAAATTCAAGGTAATGTACATTGTTATTATGAATGTCTAAGAAAGTAGAACATGTAGATCTAGAACTTTTAAGTGCTCTTTCCCTAATTAAGTTATTCACATTAAGTTAAAAACTTTCACTTAGGAATTTGCAGAAAGATATTGCTATGGCAACATTAGAGAAGTGACTCCAATTTTTGGAAAGACTTGTTATCCAGATTTTTTTGCAGTATGACAAACTAGCAGTTCAGTCCTGGGACCCAGTGTTGCTTATCACAAACAAGAATAAGGGATTGAAAGAACTATGCAAGGTGCTCTGTTGGACGCTACAGATATTCACACATTTAATACCGGCCTAGGAATAAACTAGGAACCACAGGTAAAGCCTTTAAAACTACAACAAGCAGACTACCAATTATCTTTTTCTAAAAATGTCAGTGAACGCCCTCAGTATAGAACAGCATGCAATGACAGCAGAAGGAGACATTGTAAAGTCTGACATTCTTTGAGATGCTGTATATTTATGGGCCAGTACCTACAAAACTAAAAGTCCTGTGAAAATCACCAAAGTGAGATTGGACTCCAGTTTATTGCAAATTGAATTTATTACCAACAGTAGAGATTTGGGACTTCCATTCTGCATAGCAAAATTTTTCCAGTAACTCTCTTGAAAGGTTTAAATAACAGGAACCTTTTCTTCAAGAAAAATGATATTGCTATAAGTGCCATAAATGCCCAGTGTCATATTATCCACAGCAAAATGCAAATGAATAAATTTAAATATCTAATACCAGAAAGAGACTTTTCTTAGACATATGTCAGCTATACCAGGCTTCACTGAGAACCATATGCCATGAAGACATGACTTGCATTCATATGCATACGCAAGTAGTGTGACATTTTGGTTTTATATCAAATTAATATTTTAAAGGATGTTGAGGAAATGGTGGAGCAAGTATTTAAATCAGACTAATAATTAGATTAGCCTTTGGCATTCTCATTATTTAAATTTTAATATTTTTTTTCTTCTTTTATAGGTCTGTATATTTTGAAAATAATTCTTATAAAGAATAGAAGTGAAGATTATGGATAAACAAAGGTATCAGGAAGATTCCACTTAATAAAATCCTACCAGATCAAAGCCACCCTAGCCTTAATTTGAAATTCATGTGTTTAAAACCACAGAAGGGAAACTTCCAGTTTTATTGAAAGCCGTGTTATCCATGAGGCAGTAAATGTCTGCTCTCCCATGGACCTTTTAGAAGTTTGCACAGATGTCTTGAATACAGCCTTTCCCTCCTATACTTTTGGAAACTGGAACCACAATCTTGTACTTTGTTTACTGAACTTTTTCTGTACTTGCTCATCACTGAAGGCTGTCATTATAGACTCTCTCTGCATAGTTCCATGCCAAAAGGCAGAACTATTTATGAACCTTTGTAGCAGCAGAGCTTAAACAGGGATGCTGATAGGAATTCAAGGCGTGCGTTAACATTCAAGATCTTCAGCAGAATTCTTTAAGCAAACAAGGTGGCAAACAAGAATCAACTGCGAATATTATGTATGTTAGTCCTAGATGATTATATCCATCAGAATGAGCTGTGATTCATTCACTTTATGTCTATTTTTTTCATTTTCATTTCCAAATGGACACCTAGTTTGAAAAGGATCCTGTTCCCCAATCCTCTCTACAATTTTCCAAAACTAGAAGACTCCCTTAAGGTGTTTTCATGAAGAGTAGTTTAATTTTTCACTGGTGTTTGTTTTTGAAGGATCAGTGAGTAAATGATGACATATATTTGCATATCAATGTGAGAAAAAACCCTGGAATACTTATTAATGATGTCATTGTAGCTGAGATGATGTAGGGATTAAGAAAGAATGATTTTATAGTCTAAAAACGGAATGAACAAGAAGATGCTCAGCAAATAGAAATCTGTCACTAAAATATAAAGTCAATCAGGTATGTGCTAACTAAAGTGCTAACTAAAATCAGACTTACTTAGCTATTAATTTTGTCTTGGTAAAACAAAATGATTACATATCCTTACCATAGCTGTTCTTCAATTTAAGCTTACTACAACACACTGTTCCTTAATGTAAAGTAATAATCCTCTCTACAATAACATTTTATTGATGCATGGCTGTGTGTGGGAACAGAATTTGCTGGTGAGGCATTGTTATCACACTTCAGCTTTTTATGGTAGGAAAATACCTGGTTTAAAAAGAAATGTGTATTCATGAGCATTCACAGCTTAACTATTTAATCTCATATATTCTGCTAAGGATCTTATTATTAGCTGGACTTTGATTTACTATATTATAATTTTATTGGAATTTGGGAGATTTATATAGTACTTGCATGTCAATTGTAACCTTAAGTCTTCATTCACAAAATTCTCCTTTTGGCCCCACATGCCTTTGCAGTCAGCTCAAGAAGTTAAACACCAAAGTACTTGGGAAATACTACATGGTTTGAGTAGGATATACCAGCTTTTGTAATTACAAAAAACCAGGGAAGTACAAATTAACATTTCTACACATTTTCTACAAACAAGCAAGCTAAAATAAGTGAAATAACTGTGTAACTAGGAAAATATAATCCTATCATGGGAATTCCAAGAATAGCATAAGCAACCCACATTCCTTTTTTTCTCCATTTCACACAAATTCTCTTGCTAATCTTCCATATTTCCATCTAGAGATGAACTGTCACAGGAGTACAGAACATATGTACATAAGAATCATCAAAATCAGAATGAAGAATGTACAGCTAGAGTAAGCAGACTTCTCCACAGACCACAACTGATCTCACCAAGATAGAAACTGAGGTGCCATTACATGGCTTAAGCAGAGCTCTTCGTTCCTTTTGTGCTTCAGAAGGGGACCTGTGTTAAGAGGATTTAAAGTACTGCTCTTCTTACATGAACAAAAGCAGTCATCTTCATTCTTCATGTTCTATTTAAGTAGTTTCCTTTCTTGCTCTGGTGACAGTCACATAATCTAATTCACATGTGATGTATGATCTGGCTCATAAACTAACAGATTTATTTTGATATAACTTACTATATATTTAATGTGTAAATCTGGATGCTAGAAATAATCACCATTTTTACTCAACTGTTCCGATAAAAGTTGAATCCTCTTAGAAGTGGAGACAATATTACTTGATTATTTCAGACTTTGAACAAAATACTTGCTTATCAAATATTAAATTATTTGCAGTTTTTAAAGAAGAATATCTGTGTTTATTACTATAACTGCAGGTACAGAAAAGACTAAGTTTGGGATGCATAGCATGAAAAATGTAATTCACATACTTAAAAAAATGCAGTTATATCAGCCATCAAAGCCTGGCCTTAGAAAGTGATGTTAAGATATAGTCATATTTTATGCTTTACTGAAGTGAAATGAATTTTTTAAATGAACTGGAGGTTAAAAACTTCTTTAAAACACATGGTTACAGACATCCCTGGAATTACAATCAATGATAATCATTAATAAAAAAGAAAAAGTCCTATAAATTCAAGATAATAATTAATTACTACATCTAAAGAAAGAATCCCAAGTGTCTGAATAGGATATTTTAGCACAGAGTTAGAATTAAGTTTCATTTTTCTTTATCTGATCATCTCTGCTACATGCAAGGAAAGACCAACAAGCATGGATTACTGCCATGCTCCTGAAGTTTTAGGTAACTTGAAGAGATATTCCATAATCCTTTACTCATAGCAAAGAGGATCCTAACTCCAGAGTTGCTCATAGAAGCACTCTATATATATAGCAAATAATGAGGAAACAGGTTTTGAGTGAGACAAATATGTAGGGAGAGGAAGGTTGTAAATTATTAAATGCCTCAAGAATTATGACTGTTACTAAATGACTGAACAGTTAAACATGCTATATATTTTGTAAAGGGAGGTGATTCTGAAAAAAAGCAACTTTCAAACAGAATGCTGAAATCAGTCTAAAGAACTCAGGAACTCTACTCTCTTGATAGATCTATACTATAATATTCTACTTGATAAATATCAGTAAAGATACATCCCCCAAATCCTAGCTAGGATTGTTCAACATTTTGCCACAGCTTTCCTGCTACTAATAAACAAACTAACTAGATTAATTCTATCTGGGATAGGCTTAAAAATGCTGCGATATAATAAACATATCCATGAAACAATCTCTTACAGAGTTTTGATACCTCTTCTTAAGGTATCTTCTTAAGACAAAAACTCAGAATGTAAAACTGTTTTTTCATATGATAGTCAGGTCAGACTGGCAAAACAATTTAAAAATTATGACTTGCTAAAACCCTCACTTTATTTTCTATCCTACTCTTGCGTAAAGCTTCCATTTAATATTTGTAATAAACAGAAAAAGAAGAATCTACTTCAAAGGGCACTAGATTGGGTATGTCTCTACATAACAGAATACTTAAAAGTCAAAATCAACATTCCAGTTGTGCATGTAAGTTGTGCATATTTTTGTTACTGGTAAAGCACATCCTACTTTTATTTTGGTCAACTGTGTGCATCATCTTCAATATTATCTTCTCTGTGAATATCTGCTCCTTGTAAAACTGCCAAAAAAAGAAGAAATGGTCACATTCTACTTTCTTAAGGTCGTAATATAAATTGTCACTCCTGTTACTATAGAAACAGAGTGGATTTCATCATTCTAATGCATGCAGCGATAATTGTTTTTATTTCAGTCTATGGATAGGTAGTTAATGGTGCCAGCTGCAGTTAGCACAGACACAGACTATTGTCATCTAAGCACAAAGCTGCTGTCTCCTGTCACTGTGAGCTTTCCTAACCATCAGCAATTCATAGGGGAACATTCAGGCAGAAAGCAGAGCTTCCACAGGCCTTCGTTCTATGGCTGAAATAGAATTCCCTGCAGGAATTATGTTTTCATATGAAAAACAAATAAATAAAGAACAGTACAGAGTGCTTCCTCAGATTGTCCAGTCAGGTCATTGCAGAAAAACTGGTTTCTACATGGCAGCTTATAAATTTGGATTGTCTAGAGAAAAGGCTCAGTTGACATCCTATCCATAACACAGCTTTCTTCAGAAAGTACAGCTAGATGTCATAAGCTTACAATTAACATAGGTCTCTATGCAACTGCATATTTTAACCTTGATATAAAGAGATCAACAGGTATTAAGTAAATTTAAACAGTGCAGTTCTGTAAGATCACAGCTACTACAAGTATGCTCAAATTTAGGCTCATTTAGAATATAAAAGTGGATAATATAAACCAAAATCACAAGTGAAAGCAATATGGGATAAGAAGACTACTATGCGAATTCCAGGGTCATCCAATCAGTTTAAAAATTGATGTACTCTAAAATAAGCAGTTAATGGCCCCACAGAAGACTATGACAGGTAGGGATCACTGGTGGGTTTGGATGCTGTCTTTCCTAATGAACAAACACACATACTGGCTAGCACCAACAGTTTTCTTCCATGTATTGTATTAAACTTGATCTATGTCTCAATTTAGAAAGTGTATCACACTTTTAGTCCCTCTGGATATTTATTTCACAGAAACACAAAGTGGCTGAGGTTGGAAGGGACCTCTGCAGGTTATCTTGTCCAACCCTCCTGCTCAAGCAGTCACCTAGAGTAGACCACATCCAGATGTCTTTTATCTGGCCAACCTGTTCTGGTGCTCAGTCACCTGCACAGTAAAAAATGTTTCCTTATGTTCAGACAGAACCTCCTGTGCTTCATTTTGCACCCACTACTGGCTGTCCTGTCACTGGGTACCATGGAAAAGAGCCTAGTTCCACCTTCTTTACACCCTCCCTTCAGAGATTTACACACACTGATGAGGTTCCCCCAGAGCCTTCTCTCTTCTCAGCTGAACAGTGCCAGCTCTCTGCCTTTCCTCACAGGAGAGATGCTCCAGTCCCTGATGTTGGACTCTGCACAGTAGCTCCACCTCCTTCTTGCAGTGGGCAGCCCAGAACCAGACATGACACTCCAGGTGTAGCCTCATCAGTGCTGAAGAGAGGGGAAGGATGACCTTCCTCTGCCTGCTTGCAACACTCCTAATGTAGCCCAGGATACTATTAGCCCTCCTTGCCACAAGAACTCACTGCCAGCTCATTGTCAACTTGCCATCCACCAGTGCTCCCAGACCCTTTTTTGTAAAGCTGCTTTCCAGCCAGTCAGCACCAGTACGGACTGGTGCCTGGGGTTGTTCCTCCCCACGTGTAGGTCTGTGTACTGCCTTTTGCTGAACCATGTGAGGTTCCTGTCAACCCATTTCTCCAGCTTCTTGAGGTGGTTCTGCATGGCAGCACAACCCCCTGGTGTATCAACCACTCCTCCCAGTTTGGTATCACCAGCAAATCTGCTGAGGGCCTTTGGCATAGTCTCCCATTGTATCCTCCGTGCCAAAACGGTGAGATATGGACTGGTAAAGTAGACTGTGAGGAGAGCAGAAAATTGACTGGACCACTGGGCTTAAAAGGTTGTGATCAACAGTACAAAGTCCAACTGCTGGCCAGTTACTAGTGCTGTCCTTCAGAGGCAAATACCAGGGCTATTACTGTTCAAAGTCTTTATTAGTGACCTAGACAATAGGACAGAATGCAATGTGGATAATATAAAATCAGGGAATGGCGGACAGGCTGCAGGTTACAGCCACTGTTCAGAGAGACTTCAACAGGCTGAAGAAATGGGCTTTCAAGAACCTCATGAAGTTCAACAGATGCAAATACAACAGTATAGACTGTGGAATGATCGGACTGAAAGCAGCTTTGCAGCAGAAATCTCAGAGAACAGTAAGCTGAACATGAGTCAGCAGTGTGTTCTTGCAGTGAAGAATGACAACTACATGCTATGCAAAAACACAGCCAGCAGGTTGAGGAAAGTGATTACTTCCTTCTGTTCACTTCTGAGACCATTGCTGGAGCACTGTGTCCTATTTTGGCAACTCAGTATTGAAAGACATGACAGACTGGAGGAAGCTCAGTGGGGACCACCAGGATGATAAGGGGCCTGAAGCACATAGCATACAAGGAGAAGCTGAGAGTACAGGATTTTTCCAGCCCTGAAAAGGCTCAAGGGGCACTTCACCTACCCAGTGACAAGGTACGGAGAAAATGGAGCCAGACTCTTGGAGGACAAGGGGCAACAGACCCAGCTTGGAACACGGAAAGTTTCAGCCAGATCAAAATATATTTTTTTCAGCACAAAGGTGGTCTGAGAAGGTGACCAAGTATTGGAACAGGTTCCTCAGAAAAGCTGTGGAGTCTCTGTTCATGGAAATAATCATAAGTCTTCTGGATATGATCTAAGTGATCCTGCTTGAACAGGGGGTTGGAAAAGATGGCTTCTATCAGTCCCTCCAATCTAAACCATCCTATGGTTCTCTGACAGTTTGTACACCTTTGGTTTGACATCTCTACCAAACCTGCGATTGATCCAGTAAGTATTTGCCAGAACAAATCCAACCCAAGAAAGCTTTGTATGTTTAACTTTTCTCACAGAGGACACCTGAATACTGTCTCACGACACCAAAGTTTTGCCCAAACAAGGTCTAAGCATCACGTGAAACAACAGCAAAACAAAATCTACTGTAATCTGTGCTCTCTGACAGTACGAGAGAATGTTGTTTTTCATAAAAACTTTGTTTATTCTCTAAACTGGCTCTTTTCAGGATTATTTGAAGAACAGGAAATCACAGTGAATGGGTAATTACACAAGTGTTGTCACTGTACTCATTTACTTTTACTTCAGATATCTTCTGCAATTGCTGAGCTGAGCAACGAGTGGAATGGTTTCTTAGTGTACAGTCAATACAGAATAACTATCACAACTGTTACTTATATGAAAGTATTGTTATTACTTTTACTAAGAATTAGCTTGAACCATGAAAGACTTATTTCCAATCAGTTATTCTCAGTTCATATTAATTTGGTTATAATTAATGGAAGTTATGGGGAATGTAATCTCCTCGTCAGAGGATGCAGTTAATGTGTAGTTTAAATATTAATGAGCTTATTCTTTATAAGGATACCTGTAATACTTGGTGTAGATTAGCCAAGCAGACAATTTTTTTCTTAAAATTAAGGTGCTTTGAATCAATAGGTGTACAGGTTAACTACACCATTTTCTGTACTTTGCCTTGCTTGCTCAACACTATGAAGTACATAAATTGTACATAGGATCATGTTTCCCTCTGACATATGCTATTTAGTTCTAAAAATCTCTCAGAAATTAGTAATACCATATAAAAAGCAGTTTGCTTTTCTTGTTAATTTTCCCAATTTAGAACTGACAAAAACACTGTAATGAATTATAGCAGTGTATTATCAAAAATAGACATTTATGCAAAGTACTATGAAAAATGAAATATGACTAGAATTATACTTGGAAACGTCCATTTAGAGGTCCCATCTGTGAACACAGCAAATTATAACAGACAAAATGTTGACGGTGGTATAATTCATGAATATCAATAATGACATTAGGTGTTGCTGGACAGATAATACACAGTCACCGAGCCAGATAACTCCTGTACAGTTTGTTCATTAATCATTTGCCCTCAGATCCTAAGAACTGTAATGTACAGATCCTTAGTCATGAGGTTTTATGTAGCATATCCCTGCATGTCTCTGACTACTGAGCTTTTCCTAATTCCTCTGGGATTCCTCACTCTGTTATTTATATATATGTACATATGTACCCTACTTATTTTGTATTTAGGTCACATCATCTATGCACACACAGCAGCACCAAACAGGTCACCATATGTCCAAAATCTCCACATAATATTTGTTACACATGTACATTCCATTTACACTGAGTTACATATACACTTGTTTAGAAATACAGTAATAATTTTAACAATGTACCAGCAACACAGTAAGTACAGTCTTCTGAGGAAACATTAGGTGTACTGCACATGTGCTCCACAGTGCATATACATGTACAACTTCCTAGTAAATCTCAGGCAAATATGGTAACCCTGTACTTTCTGAACCTTTTTTTTTGGCAAACAGCCAGACTGGAAAGGTCCTGCTGCAGCCCTGTAAGCTATATTTGGTAATAACTCACTTCCCAGCAAGTATATATAAAACTACGTGAGAAGAAAAACAAGGTTCTAATTCTCATCCATTTGAGAAGAACCCAGTGGAAAGAAAACCAGCAGTGTTCTTTGCAAATGTGGCTTGCTGCATAAAGTTGGAAATGCCTGGGACTATGATTCCTGTTCTTTGGGTCTTGGCACATTTCCCATAACCTGGCTCATTTGCTCAGGCCAGGCGTTGAGCAGTGACTTGGAACAGAAACAAAGTATGATCAGTGAAGTCGTGTTGGCCAGGGTTTTGCTTGTTTTGGGTTTTTTTTGTTTTTTTTTTTACAAGTGTCTGCTCTGAGCAAGTATAGCTAAAATAAATAGACCATAATAGGAAGAGAGTAAATCAGGCATATTTCAACTAGAGTCCCATAATACTTTGTTATGGACACACATGTTAAATATTCCACCTTCTTTAATAATTCTACAGCATACCACAATATACTGTTTTCTGAGTTGAACTTAATTGGAATGCACTGTGTGGCA